TCGCTAGACAGGCAGACAACGAGCTGCCAGCGAACACTCCCAGACTTGGACAGAATCATAAAGACCAAAACTCGCTGGAGGGAGTGAAGCAGCGAAGGACTCGCTAGGCGAACCATTCTGCTCGCCTAGCGAGCATGTCAGCACAACATTTTTTTCTATTCCCATCCACTATCGAATCTTCGACTCGAATGTTGATCAACCTACTCCTAAAACGTGTAGCTTGTGTGCTGTTATATGTTATGTTGTGGGTAGCCGTATGGCGTGAATCCTAGATTGTGAAATTTATTGTGAATTGTGGCCTTTTGGCAAATAAATGCATTGTTAAATTAAATATAAATGCATGATAATTGTGATAGATCCATGAATCCTTAAACCTTCCAACTACCCTCATTAAACTGTTTGACCTACCTATGATTAGCCATTACTTCTTAGCCCTAGTCTCAAGATTTGACCATAAATTCTCATATTTCCTAAATCTTAAATACCTTCAACCACTCATATCCCACATTTAATTCTATGTCTTCTATCAACCATTATAAAAACCATCTCTCATAACCTACTTCTACCATCTCTCTCAGTTACCAAAACTCCCCACAAAACTCTCTCATAAACCCTAGCTCTCATTCTTTCATCTTTTTTAATGGCTTCACGATCAAAGAGGAAGATTCCAGCATAAGACAAAGGCAAAGTTCCATCCTCCTCATCTTCCGAAACTCCACTTGTTCTTCAACATTTGGATAATGACCAACAGGAAAAATTCATCAAGTATTTCCAAAAGAAGGTTGTGCAGACCCCCAAGTACGGTATCCTTTCATCCTTCCCTAAAGAGTGTTTCTCTTTCCAAGAAACCCTGATTGCATGTGGGTTGGAACCAGTGACTTCCTCATCGGGCCATATTATCCGGATTTGGTAAGACTGTTCTATTGCAACCTACATAAAAAAGAAGGAAAGCTTGTGACATATGTTCAAGGTAAAAGGATCTCGCTTTTCTGAAAGACACTTGGTAGGATTCTCAACATTCCAATGCCTGCTGCAAGTACTCCGGAAGAACACGAAGAAGTCTGGAACGCATATGACAAAAGACAGTTCTATTGGAGCCTCAACAGAATGTCTGAAGCCGAATTCCATGCATAAAGGGTCCGATCCTTAGGCGGCTTGGAACCATCTCGTAACTCATGGTCGGCAGGTATATTCAACATTGATGACCGATTATTTCATTATTTCATGGCTTACATAATGTTTCCAAGGGGTGGAAATCATTGCCTCCTGACTGATCTAGAAATGCAGATGCTATATACTGTTAAGAATAATATTCAGATAAATTGGGCAAATATGATCTTAACTCACATGCGCGAAATCAATGAAAAATCCAAGTTTATGCCATATGCATGGTTCATTACAAAGATCTTGGAACATTATCAAGTAGACTTTGAAGGATTTGATAAGTATCTCATGGATTCAAATATCAACAAGATCTCAATCAAGAATGTGGACTCTCGGATGGGTGTCAAATACAACCCAGATACCAAGACAATTATTTACCTTGGCGAAGGTGTGGCTGATAATGATGAACAAGAGGATGAAGATGATGATGATGTTCCTTTTCCGTCTGGAAATGGTCCGAGTAATCAACATTTAATGGACTACATAACTCAACAATTTGGGAATCTAAACAATTCCATCAATGCTCAATACAATGTTATTCAAGAGTCAACCAACACTCGAATCAACAACTTTCAAGAGAACGTGAACCAACAATTCTCCTACCTGTACTCTCACCTATACATCCCGCCGTATGACCCTTCAAACCCGGCTGTTCCTCCTACTCGTCCATCACCTCTCCAGACAACTTTTTCCAACCAACCAAGCTTTGACCCAAACATGTATCTATCTTAGAAATGACTATTTTTTACTATATGTTTTTATTGTTTTTTTATGTAATTCTGTTATTTTTGAAGTCTATACTTTCCAGTTTTATTGTACTTTTTCAATTTGACTTTTGATCAAGTTTGTCCTTTATTTTCATATATTATTGCCTTAATCCATCTTTCCCTTCTTTTTGATAATGTCAAAAGGGGGAGAAGGATGTTACTCTTTTCTTGTTTATTATCTTTCCTTAAGGTACAATTTTTCAAAATTCAAGACTATTTCGAACCTCAATACAAATTCAGAAACTCTCAACACGTCATACATTGAGGGGGAGAAAAATGTACCTGAAAAAAAACATCACAACAAAAGAAGAATGCTTTGTCATCATCAAAAAGGGGGAGAATGTGAAATCAAGATTCTCAGAGATCAACATTTGTTTTGATGAAGACAAATCACTCAAGAAGGCAAAGATGATCAACCATCAAGCAGCAGGACAAAGATACAACTTTGAAGATGTTCTCATCTAAAGGTATAATGAGAATGTCCATTAAGCATTTAAGTCCTAATTGTTCAAAACTTTTAAAACATTTCTCATGACTTGTTACACTCTCACAAGCTTTTGAAAACATAATTTTTCTAAGTTTTTCAAAGTGCAATCGATTGCACTCTTAGAGCAATCGATTGCATGATCAAAATTTTTAACTATTTTTGATTATGTTTTGAAGAGCAATCGATTGCTGCCTTAATGCAATCGATTGCATGCTTAAAAAATTCTCAGTTTTCACTTCTGTTTTGAAGTGAAATCGATTGCTGCCTTTGTGCAATCGATTGCTCAATGAACGTTTTTTGAAAATTTCTTCTGAAAAATTGCATCTCTTCATTCAAATGTCTGTTAAATGTTTTCTTTAAGAAATAACAAATGTTCATCAATTTTTCTGAAGATTGCATGATTTCATCAAGAGATATTTATGTAATATAAATACCTAGCTTTTCAAATTCAAAAACAACTCTAACTTTTACATGAATTCTTCACAATCTCTTTCAATAAAAAATTCTTGAACTTTTTCTTTAAACAATTTTCACAAAGAATTTTCTGCATCATTTTCATATCTTTTGAAAAGAAAATTCTTGAGCAATAAGTCTTAGATACTTGTGGAAATTCCATTGAAAGAGAAGATTCAATCTCAACATTGATTATCAATTATACATTGTTTCAAATCTTACAAACTCATAATTGTATTTTAGTTTCCCCTTACTGCTCAGGATTGTTGAAAGCAAGTGTGTGCATTAGAGAGGATTGTTCTCATTGCACTTAGTGTTTAGATCTTAAAGGTGTTTTAAGAACCTTTGATCTCCTATAGGTTAGAACAAATTGTACATTGATCCTAACTATAGTGAAATCTCTTTCGTGTTGAAAGGGGAGTGGAGTACCCTCGGGGTGTGAGGGGAACCACTATAACTCTCTGTGTCTCTTTTACTTTCTGCCTTTACAAGCTTTCAAATCATCACTTCATTAAAAAGAAAGTAACATAGTCCTCTTAAAACCAAAAAAATTCAAAGAACCTAATTCACCCCCCCCCCCCCCCCCTCTCTCCTCTTAGGCGCATTACTAACTCACACAATCTATAACAATATATAAAAGGGATGCATGTATTTGGATTGACCTATTTTTCTTCCAAAATTACCCTTTAACTAACACTATATTTCCTAAACAATCACATTAACAATAACTGTATGTAATGTAGAAAAAGGAGAGGACAACCCCATATCAATAAAAACTAAACAATAACTATGCAATTTTCATTCTGGAACAGTTTCTTTCCTTCTTTCATGAAAAGATAACCCATGTCTCGACAATTACAAATTCGCGATCATGTTGCACTAGTTTGTGGAATTCAATAATCACGTATAATTCTCTCTCTCTATCTATCTAACTATCGATATATCTCTCATACTTATTGTCTATCTATATTGATCACATGACAAAGATTTTATTATTATTCTATTTAATTATTTTACTATTAAAATAGCCGTTTTTATTTCATCATGTTAAAAACATACTAGGATAATATTGAAGTGAGGGGAGAGTCATTTGATAATTTTATTTTTCAAATTGATGTACACCACTGTAACCTACAAAATAATCTCCACGTTATTGATTTGCATATAAATTAATAATAACTGCATCACATAACCACATCACATAGATTTAAAGCAATGTTGTTTTTCCAAATTTCTCTCTAATGACTTTTTCTACATTGTATTCTTTATTCTCAAACTGAAACAAAAATTAATATTCTTAGCATTTAAGATGTTTAGAGAAACAAATAAAAAAAATAAAAATTGAATAGACAGAGGGCATGAAACCCTTTAATTCATTGTAGATCTTTGCTAACTCTCAATTTGTTTCTCAATTTATCTTTAATTTGTTTGTTTTATATTTTTATACTATTGTAAATTCATTTGCTTATTTGTCATATTCATGTGCTTATTTGTCATATTCATATAGATGCAAAATATTAGTTATGTTTTTTTCATACAAAATAGTAACACATATTCTTCCACCTTCTCATCTATTTCCTATTTATTAATTTTTTTCTTTATTTCATGGTAATATTTAATTTTGAATTAGTGTTTTTTTTTTCTCTTTTCAATAGTTTGTTATTATTATTTTCCATTGTTTTATTCAATTTTTGGTGAGATAATGGAAATATCCTACTATAACATGAATGAATCGGAGAAACGAAATACGTCATTTTCTCAGCAACAAATATGCTAAGAAAAAAAATCAAAAGAGAAAAAAATTGTGGCAACACTGTAGCAACCACTCGATCGTGACTCAAAGAAAATTTTAAGTTAATTGAGAGAATATTACAAAGTTTATTATAAAATAATTTATATTAAAATCAAAATAAAATAGAAAATATCTGTTTATATATTGATGCGCGTGCACGTTAAAAAAACATATAACCAGACACACGAGAATATCAACAAAAATAGCAAATAAAATAACTATTGTGAGATGAATTGCAAGTACGTAACAATTTTATTAATAAATGTTTGAAAGATAAAAAAGATTATTTCACTCATCTATTTGTCTATTTATCTATCTCTTCCCCATCTTCTGGTTCTTATATAGGAGTTCCATCCAAAAAATGTGTGTAAAAGTACAATGCCTCCATTGGTTTATATTCAGGAACAGTATGTCCAGATCCCTGTAAAAATATTATTAAATAATATATCAAAGAGTCTAAATTAATTTATAGAGTAGTTACACTTTTATATACATACCTTTACCGTCAGAAATCTGAGATTGTTGGCATATCCTTGTGTAAACCTAAAACCAAACAAAGAAAACTTAAGCAACCTCTATTCATTAAATTAAGACATTAAGAATTAATGGCTCTAAAAGTACCCTGCAACTTGATCATTGACTACCCATGGTCTCCATTCATCAACAATCTTATATCCAAGTGATCTTGTCCATGCTTCAGTTCCAGTAAATGGAACACACATATCATGATCACCGCTGAAAAAAACCACAACAAGTTTCGATGAGAATGCTGTGACTTTATAAGAAGAATAAACACAAAACATAGTTGTTACGTTGGAAGATTAACCTAAATATCAATGCTGAGTACCCTTTGGAAGTAAGATTCTTGTGGTAAGGAATCATACTCCCTAGATCATGATCGTATTCTAGTTGGTCTGTACATAAATCCCATTCACTAACTACATTTTTAGCCGCAGCGTGAATAGCTTTCCTCACTTCAGGATTGTTCAACCATACCATAGCAATCTCATCGTCCTAAAATATGTAACGATCCAATATAAATATATCCATAAATATGAACTATTAGAATAAAAGTACTGTAACTTACTATGCATGGGGGAGCAGTGAGACTTTTGCTGGTAAGTTGTGGCCAAGATGGAACGATTCCATCTTTCACAATAGCTCCATAGGGCCATGCACGACCAAACATCCTTTTTCTTATGGGAAGAGATTTTTCGGTTTTTCCCAATTGCCTAAAGCTTAATGGCAACTTAGAGTTCTTTTTCTGATTCTCTTCTGTCTCTTCACCATGATAACATGGTTCTAAGATGTCATATATATTTAAGCCATTGATTATCTAAAATAAATTATAAAAAAAACATGATTAAGTGCTATATAAATATTAAATTTTAGAGTGTGTTTGTTACTTTTACTTACATTGGCTATTTTTAACAATAAATTGCTGCACTCAACAGAATCTGGCGGATAGAAAGTCCCATTGCATGTTTTTGTAGTGTTCTGTACCACATAACATGGAACATGGAAGTTAAGAAAATCAAACACTTTTATTTTTTTTATATGAAATTCAATGTAAGACTCTCAAATATTATATTTTTACCTCAAATATTTGATCAGAGATAAGACCCATTCCGTGTGCGAAAGGAACAAGAGCATTGCCATCAAATATTGGATCAGCAACAGGATTTCCAATCAAATAACCCTACATATTACATCTCAAAAAAAGACGTGTCAATATCGGCGGATGTCACTACTTCAGAACTAAAAATCTATAATGTTAGATAATCTTTCAATTTTTTTTTTAATATTTACCTTGAAATTCAATTTGGGCTTGGTGCCAACTTCAATTTCTAAACAACATGAAGCAAATAATAATGCATATTAGTTATTATTGTTACTCTAATAAATTAACTTAATTGAACATTTTTATGGCATAATTATATATATTGAATACCTTTTACTATTGTATTAGCAAGAGTAGGTACATAAACTCCAGCATAAGATTCTCCAGCTAGGAATAATGGGTTTGCAAGAAACTCAGGATATAATTCAAACCACTTGTTTGATAAAAAATAAAGTAAATATGTTAGCAATATGGTAAGAATAATAATAATTAAATTTATACATAAATTTAGAGTCAAGTTTCTTTGGTTACTTTAAGAAGAAAAGTATGTGTATCAGCAGCAGTCTTTTTATCTCCAGTTTTATAATCAGATGCATTTTTTGAATAAGAAAATCCTACTCCAGCTGGAGAGTCCAAATATATAATGTTGGACACCTAAAAATAATCACATTTATTGTTAGAAGAATTATATCAAATAAATAATTTTTTCCCTCTTTTTATAGATAAAAAAATATATAACCTTTGACCAGCTGTATGGATTGAGTTTCAACTTAGGCAAAGCTCCCTTGGTGACAGGTTTTTCAAAATTAAAAGGACCTGAAATATTTTCACTAAATTTATTTGATGTAAGCAACAATAATAAAATGAAAAGAATAATGCAAAAAAATTAGACTTACCGTGTTCATATATGAAACCATCAAAACTAGAACACCCTGGTCCACCATTTAGCCATAGAACAATAGGGTCTGTTGATGATGAATTACTTTCTGATTGAACAAAATAGTAATACAAATTCTTACCATGACTTTCATCTATTGTCACATACCCTCCATAGTGCTTTGAAGGTAGAGATCCATTGAAGCCTGGAAGCTTGGTTATAAGAGATCCTTTAGGTGCTGAATGTGTCACCACAAAGGTTAGGAAAATGTGAAGCAATATCAAGTACAAGTTTCTCATCTTGAATGTAATCAAGGGACTGTGTAATTAACACAATTTATAAAAGAAAAAGATTCATAGGGATTGTGATGTAAAGCTGTCAATGTGAAGTATCCAAATCCAACAATTTATGGAAAGTAATTACCAAATCTTTTTTTATTTTGGAATAAATTGATAATCATGAAAAACTGGTATTTAAAAAATAAATATACTATAACTACAGCGTCTGGTCAATGCTACAAATAAAAAATAATTTATGTATTTAATATACATGTATTTGGTCTACATATAATCTTGATATATCAGTTATTTAAGAAATTTATAAAATGTGTGTTTGAAAAATTACTATATAATTACATTTAAATATAATATATAGAATTTAGGCAATAGAACATTCATTGAATAGTTGATTATAAAAAAAGAGTCCTAAATTAATATATATATATATATATATATATATATATATATATATATATATATATATATATATATATATATATATATATATATATATATATATATATATATATATATATATATATATATATATATATATATATATATATATATATATATATATATATATATATATATATATATATATATATATATATATATATATATATATATATATATATATATATATATATATATATATATATATATATATATATATATATATATATATATATATATATATATATATATATATAGAAAGGTCACATGAACTCACTTGTTTTCACTTTTTTATATTCTCAACTTCATTCCATCATTTTCCCTTTTGATCATCTAAAACCCTAACCAGAACATTTTTTCAATAACATTTTCATGCATCATTTTTACTCATCATCTATCATTTCATTCAACATCATCACCAATCCATCATCATCCATGTCTTATGAGTATGGCTACCGAGGAAGGCTTGACAAGCAAAAGAACAAGCAACCAGTCATTGATTCTGAGCCACCAGTCCTTATTCCAAAGTGATCCAAGGTAGTAAGACATTCACAAATGGAGTTTTGAGAAGGAGGGTCGAACGTTCATCTGCGTCAAGTTCATCTTCTCTGACAATACTTTGTAGTAAAGTTGCACATTTGTTGCTTGAAGATAGTCTAAAAAATATCAAGATAAGTTTCTTTACAAGCATATAAACCCTTAATATTTTGTTGATAGTTATGCTGAAGTTGAGTTGAAAATCAAGTTCTTGAAACCATTTGATGACAACAATTTGTTATTATTCATTGGTATGAAAAGAAAATACAACTCTGATTACGTACAGACTTTCTATTGCATTCTTGAACTCACTAACGCAGGTCTTGAAAGTAGGTTCAAGAACAAGGTTGTGAAATTTAATTACTTTGATTTTATCACTTATTTTGGATTGAAATATGAAGGTACCGATGTGTCAAATTTAAAAGAGTCTGAGTATGACAAAGTTGCATTTGTTTTGGAAATTTCTAAGTCTGTTTGTGAATACATGGTGATGTAAAACTTGAGAATTAGTCAGATCAAGTTTGTTATGAGGTTGTTACACTAAATTTTGTGAAAATTTTGGCTAGGAAACTGACAAATTCTAGCAGGGCGGATGATAATGATCTATTTCTGATGTGGTGTCTAATTCACAAACACTACGAGAAAAGTTGTGTTCAGCCACGTGATTTAGTGAAGTGAAAATCACGTGGCAAAATATAGACAGTTGCGACGTGATTTTCACGTCACTAACTTGTTTAATATTAAAATAATAAAAAATAAATGTAGCATGTGGTCTGTCAGATGTAAAAATAAAAATAAAAACCTTTGTAATGTGAAAATCACGTCGCAAAATGTAAATTAAAAAATAATAATAATTAAAAGGACAGATCTACTGAAGTGAGAAGGGGGAAATTTTCAAAAAATTTGTTGTGACGTGAATATCACGTCGCAACCATTTAGGAGGGAAAAAATCGGACGCAGAGGTAATGGTTGACTGTGCTGCAGGTTGACTGACAAAATCAATAGGACCATTGGAACTTTTGGGATGTGAATATCACACGTGGCAAAGTTGCGAAGTGATAATCATGCTGCTACGTGATTAACGTGAATATTTAAATTTTAGCCGTTATAGGTTGCGACGTGAAATTCATGTAGCTGGGGTTTTATTTATAACATGCGTGCCCAACTTCTCATACCACACTTATTATTACAATTTTAATTTCTTCTTTCTCTTTCTCTCGGTTTCTTCTTCTTCCACATTTTATTTTTTCATCTTCTTTGTTCTTCTTCTTCTTAATTTGTTTCTTCATTTTTATTCTCCAGATAATGTATATTTTCCCTTAATATTATTATTGTTGAATTTATTTTTATTAATTTTGTTTAAAATGTATTTTTATGAGTTTAATATTTGTTTTTTTTTGTCAAATTATCTTTGTTATTAAGAAAAGAAAATAAGAAGGAGATTGAAAAAGATAATTTTCTAGAAGATTAAAGGAGTTTGAAGAAGAGGTATTTTTGCTATTTAATTTTTTATTTTAGTTTTATTTATTAATTTTGAATTGTCGGTAGATGTTTAATTTTTTGTATTTATTTTCTGAATATTTAAATTTTTTCTGTTTTAATTTTTTCTGAATTTATTTTATGTTTAAATTTTTAGATATGTTTTATTTTTAATATATTTAAATATTCTGTTTTTAATGTTTAGAAAATATCTAAATAGAATATTCTGTTTTTAAAGTTATTTATATGTCAAAACAGAGATATTTATATGTTCAATCTATTTTTTATTGTTTAGAAATAGAATATTATATTTAGAAATAAAATATTAAAAACTGAATATTAAAAACAACAACATATTAATTTTAATGTTTTATTTATATTTTGTTATATTTATATTAGAAACAGAATTATATTATGTTATTATGTGTTATTAAAAACAAATTTTTATATATAGTATAAATTTATATATTAAAAATAGAATATTAAAATCAAATATATTATTTTTAATCTTTTATTTTTATTTGGTTCTATTTAAATTAGAAAAAATATTATATTTATATTATGATTATTTGTTATTAAATTTTTTTTTTGTTATTATGTGTTATTAAAAACAAATTTTTATATATAGTATAAATTTATATATTGAAAACAGAATATTAAAAACCAAATATATTATTTTTAATGTTTTATTTTTATTTGGTTATATTTACATTAGAAACAATATTATATTTATTTTATTACTATTTGTTATTAAAAAAAGATTTTTGTTATTGTGTGTTATTAAAAACACATTTTTATATATAGTATAAATTTATATATTAAAAACAGAATATTAAAAACCAAATATATTATTTTTAATGTTTTCTTTTTATTTGGTTCTATTTACATTAGAAACAATATTATATTTATATTATTATTATGTTATTAAAAAAAGATTTTTGTTATTATATGTTATTAAAAACAAATTTTTATATATAGTATAAATTTATATATTAAAAATTGAATATTAAAAACCAAATATATTATTTTTAATGTTTTACTTTTATTTGGTTATATTTACATTAGAAACAATATTATATGTATATTATCGTTATCATTTGTCATTAAAAATATATATTTTTTATTATGTGTTATTAAAAAAAAATTATATATAGTATAAATTTATATATTAACTGAATATTTAAAATCAAATATATTATTTTTTATTTTTTATTTTTTATTTTTGGTTATATTTACATTAGAAACAATATTATATTTATATTATTATTATTTTTTACTAAAAAAGGATTTTTGTTATTATGTGTTATTAAAAATTATTTTTATATATAGTATAAATTTATATATTAAAAACTGAATATTAAAAATCAAATATATTATTTTTAACGTTTTATTTTAATTTGGTTATATTTACATTAAAAACAATATTATATTTATATTATTATTATTTGTTATTAAAAAAAGATTTTTGTTATATTTTTGTTTATTATATAATATTTTTGTTATTAAAAACAGATTTTTATATACAGTATAAATTTATATATTAAAAATATATATGTTTAATAGTATATATAGAATAAATCTTTAATAGTATATGTTTAATAATATATACCATGTGTAATAGTTAAAATAAAAAATATATATTTAAGAAGAATATATATTAAATAGTTTAAATTTTTAATAGTTATTGTTTAATAGTAATTTTTGGTTAATATAAGTTTATGTTAAAGAATAATAATAAGTTAGTTAATACTTGTATTTAATACTTTATAGAAATTGAAATTGATATTAAAATCACATCTGTAATTAAAAAGACAGTGATTGTATAAATATGCAGTATGGAGTATTATAGGTACTATCGTAGTTGGATGTAGGATAGGTTGTATCCAGTAAGACGCGGACTTAAACCAAATTTTGAGGAGGGAGTTAAAGGGTTTATCACGTGGACATTTTCTCAAGAATGTTGTCGAACTGAAGGAGGAGTTAGATGTCCTTGTTTTAAATGTGGGTGCATACTTATAATTAGTGACCCAGAGGAAGTAGAACGACATTTGAAGAGAAGGGGTTTCATTGAAAATTATTGGGTTTGGACATATAATGGAAAAGAACTGTCGAGTAGCGTACCGGAGACCAGTAATACACATGCTTCAAGTAGTCAATCACCGATGGAACATAGGGAAAACTTTATATGATCAGTGAGATGGTGGGTGATGCTTTTGGTGTGAATGTGACCTATGACGAACCTGAAGATTTCGATGGGGAAGAGTTGTCGAATGAGGAAGCACAAAAATTCTATCAGTTGTTGAATGAGATGAATACGTCGTTGTTTGAGGGGTTGTCGGACTCAAAGTTATCAATGTGTGTGAGATTATTGGCTGCCAAATCAAATTGGAATGTTCCTGATCAGTGTTTGGAATTTTTCGCAAAAATGATGCTTGATTCAACTCCTACGAAAGACAACTTGCGTATAAGTTTTTATGATGCAAAGGGGTTGCTGTCGAAGTTGGGTTTAGAAGTAAGAAAGATTGACTGTTGCATTAGTGGTTGCATGT